CCTGTGCCAACCACCTTGCCCGGACTCCGCCATGCCCCCTGGCGGGGCCCCCCAGACAGCCCCGATGGCTCCCCCCTTACTCCTGTGCCTACCCAGATGCCTTGGCTTGTGGCCAGCCCAGAGCCACCCCAGAGCTCGCCCACGCCCGCCTTCCCACTGGCTGCCTCCTATGATGCCAGTGGTCCCCCTCAGCCACCTCTCCCTGAAAAACGACACCTGCCCGGGCCTGGGCAGCAACCATCGCCACCAGCCAGGGCCACCAGTCAACACGTCACCTTTGCGCCTCCTCTCCCAGACGTCACCCAACCCCCAGGTATAAGGGTGTGGGGCATCGGGCGTCCTTTAAAGAACCTCACCTCCCAGAGGGAGACCGTGGGGACCCCTGGGGTCTGAACTCAGTCCCCCCCCTCCTCCTAGAGCACCCTTTACAAGAGAACCAAAGCAACGCCAAGTTCGTCCAGGACACATCCAAGTTTTGGTACAAGCCGCACCTGTCCCGGGACCAAGGTATGAAGCCAGAAAACGGTAGTGCGCCCATCCCGCCCCACCTCCAAGGCCTGTCTTGGCTGTCTCACCCTGGTGGGGGCTTTGGTTCCTTCTGTCTCAGCTCTTGGCCGAGGGGCTCACCAGCAGCGATTCTAAGCTTTGGCCTCGGACTAGCTGTCCCAGAGTCCTGCCATCCACACAGCTGCCGGAGTGAGGGACTTGGGAACCTGCCAGTGGGGCGCTGTGGGGAACCTGTCTGTGGGGCGCTGTGGGGCGCTGTGGCGCTGCCGCCAGCTCTATAACCCTTGCCCCTGCAGCCATTGCCCTGCTGAAAGAAAAGGACCCTGGGGCCTTCCTGATCAGGGACAGCCATTCATTCCAAGGAGCCTATGGGCTAGCCCTCAAGGTGGCTACACCCCCACCCAGCGCCCAGCCCTGGAAAGGTACAGACTGCTCAAGCTGAGGGAGCAGGTGTGGACAGGGGAGAGACTGCAGAGCCAAGAGCAGAGAGATGCACAGGACATCTCCATGAAGGGAAGGGGCAAGGAAAGCACCCCCTTCCCAGCCTAGGAAAGAGTCCCGGGGGGCGGGGGACACTGAGATCCTGGAATCCAGGAAAGCCTCACTTTCATCACCCCGCCCTCCTCTCAGGGGACCCCTCAGAACAGCTGGTTCGTCATTTCCTCATTGAGACTGGGCCCAAAGGCGTGAAGATCAAGGGTTGTCCCACTGAGCCCTATTTCGGTGAGAAACAAGAGTCTGAGAGGGCTCTAGGGGTCGGTTAAGGGAGAAGCCTCAAGAGGGCGGGAGAGAAAGCCCTGGTTAGCCATGCATCCTTCAGGGTGTTTTTTCCCTCACCTTGCAGGCAGCCTCTCTGCCCTGGTCTCTCAACACTCCATCTCTCCCATCTCCCTGCCCTGCTGTCTGCAAATCCCCAGTAAAGGTGTGTGATGTCTCCCCAGCTCCCACCACCCCTACAGCAAATACAGAGGTCGGGTCCTCCCCCCCCCCCCCCCCCCCCGCTGCCCTTAGGGTGGCTAAGGAAGCCTCCCCGCGCTGACCTTCCTTGGTGGCCCTCATCTCCTCAGATCCTCTGGAAGAAGCCCCAGAGGCCCCCGTACCCACCAACATGAGCACAGCAGCAGACCTCCTGCGTCAGGGAGCAGGTAGAGACGCCCTTCCCCTCCCCCTCCCTGGTGGTCCAGAGGACCTTGTAGACTCCTGGTACAGGGAGGGGAGGGCCATGGACAGGCCTGTGGGAGGTAGCCCCAGAAGATGCATTCAACCTGCAAAGGCAGAGGGGCCCCATCTTTCCGGGAGGCAGGGAAGGGGTCACAGGCTAAGTTCTCAGGGTGCACAATACAGGAGCCACAGCTGCAGCCGAGGCAAGGACTCCCGTTTTGCTGGCTGTCGGCCCCTCGGGGTCTGAGAGTTGCCTCTCTGACTTGCCGGGACGTGAGGCTAGTGCATTCAGACGGCACGCATCAGAGAAATGCACGGGATGACTGGGTGAGAAGCCCCTGGTCCTGGCAAAGCCACGCTAGCTCACCCTGCTTCCTGTCTCTTTAGCCTGCAGTGTGCTCTACCTGACCTCCGTGGAGACAGAGTCACTGACGGGACCTCAAGCCGTGGCCAGGGCCAGCTCTGCAGCTCTGGGCTGCAGCCCCAGCCCAGTCCCAGCCACTGTCCACTTCAAGGTTTCAGCTCAAGGCATCACACTGACAGACAACCAGAGGAAGTGAGCCCAGGCACCAGCCTCCCGAAGTCCCAAGAAGGACCGGGGGCCTGGATTTTTTTTTCCTTTTCATGTGTATGTGTGTGTGGTGTGTGTACATACATGTTTGCATTTATGTGTGAAGGCTCCAGTTTGATAATTAAGAATCTTTCTGGTCCCAAGTAGTGGTGGCACATGACTTTTATCCCAGTACTCAGGAGGCAGAGGTAGGTGGATCTCTGAGTTCAAGGCCAGCCAGGGTTACAGAGAAATCTTGAAAAAAAGTCTTGGGAAAACATAAAGCTCTTTCTGGGTTACTCTTCCACCTTTGAGGCAGGCAGGGTCTCAATCAAACCCAGAGGTCACAGATGTGCTAGTCCTGTTGCTGGCCTGCTCCCAGGACTCTGTCTCTGCTTCCTGCAGCTGGGATTATGGGTTCTGGCATTCAGACTCGCCCTCTTGCTTGTATGGCTAGTGTTAGCCTCTGGGCTGCCTCCCCAACCCAGAAACCTGGATTCACGTGTCTACTTTTATTCTACGTGCACTGGTGTTTTGCCTGCATGTGTCTGTGTGAGGTGTTGAATCCCCTGAACTGGAGTTACAGACAGCTGTGAGCTGTCATGTGGGTGCTGGGAATTGAACCTGTGTCCTCTGGAAGAGCAGCCAGTGTTCCTAACCTCTCAGCCGTCTATCTCTCCAGCTTCAAAACCTGGATTTTTCCTTTTTTCCCCCTTGATTTTTCAAGACGGAACTCACTTTGTAGACCAGGCTGTCCTCGAACTCAGAGATCTGCCTCCTGGGTGCTGGGATTAAAGGCGTGCGCTGCCGCGACCACCGCCACCACCGCCGCCGCCACCACCGGCAAAACCTGGATTTCTAAGTGTGACACTCCTTCCCCAACCTACTCCTCACAGGCTCTTCTTTCGCCGCCATTACCCAGTGAACAGCATCACCTTCTCTAGCACTGACCCCCAGGACCGCAGGTGAGCCCTCCTCAGAGCCCTGTGGTCCTGGCAGCCTCAGCCAGCCCCAGCTCGCCCTTCAGGAGTGGTGTCCCGGGCTGTACCCCTTCAGGGCTCTCTCTCTCTTTACAGATGGACCAACCCAGATGGAACCACCTCCAAGTAAGTCTCCCTGGGAGCCCAGCCCTGTCCTGGCACAAGCCACCCCACGTGGCCACCCCACCCTCCTGCGAGAGGGATGCAAGGCTAGCCCAGCCCTGTCCTGGCACAAGCCACCCTACGTGGCCACCCCACCCTCCTGCGAGAGGGATGCAAAGGCTAGCCCATCCCTGTCCTGGCACAAGCCACCCCATGTGGCCAGCACACCCTCCTGCGAGAGGGATGCAAAGGCTAGCCCATCCCTGGCTTTGTCTCTGTAGGATCTTTGGCTTCGTGGCCAAGAAGCCAGGGAGTCCCTGGGAAAACGTGTGCCACCTCTTTGCGGAGCTGGACCCAGACCAGCCAGCCAGTGCGATCGTCACCTTCATCACCAAAGTCCTCCTGGGCCAGAGAAAGTGAAGGAGGCCGCAAGCCGAGTCCACATCAACACTGCACCCTCCCAGCACCCACAGCTCTCACTGCCTTGGCCTGGACCCAGGAGCCCGAAGAGCCAGCGCCCACCCTCCGAAGTGGGGGTGGCACCAGCCCGGGCCACTGTTCTTTCCTGCCCTTGCCTGCTAAGCGGAGTGAGTGGGCCTTGAGATGACCTGGCATGTGAGCAGATGGCAGAGACAGGTGTGAGGCGTGAGGAGCTATCAGTAGTGGAGGCCTGGGGGGGGATGGTCCTGCCAGCTCAACCCAGCTGCAGGTCCCATCACGGTGGGAGAGGGGAGGCGTGGGAGCTTCCTTCCTCCCCTCTGAACAGAGACCAGAGTGGGATCACACAAACAGAGGAAAAAAGAGAGTCTATTTTTGTGTAATAATAAAGAATTTCTATAAACTTTTGAGTTGATTACTTCATAGGAAGAAGACATTGTGCATCTCCCAGAGACACCCCCCTGCCGGCCTAACTGTGTCCCACAGCCACCCTGGCGCCATCCACCCTCAGCTGTCTCTACCTGCCCGCCCTGGCCCTCTGACTGGAAAGGATTCCCTTTCTGTCCGTCCTGATAAATATGGAAACTCCGTCTTTATTGGGCGTATAAACATCTCTGGTCTGTACATACATTTCATACATCATAGTGCAGGCCCGGAAGGAGGGGCAGGAGCCCCAGCAGCACAGCCCCCCCCCCCAGTCCTACCCACTGTGCAAACTGAGACCAAGAGCCCCTGGAAAGGGGGGAGAAGATGGGGGCTTGGTTGCAGGGGCGGGGTCTATGTAGACGCTAGAATCAAACACTGAAGCCAAGAGTCAACTGGCACACATAGCAAGCTGGGCACAGGGGCGGGGCGGGCAGGAAAGGGGGTGAGGGGCCAAGCGGTGGCTCTGAGCGACAGCCACAACATAATACATGCCCTGGTGCCTTGGCCCCATCTTGGGGAGCCAGGGCTAGGGGTGCCTTGAAGAGTGCAGACGAAATGGGAGCAAAGGCCACAGTCCCATGCTACCACACACACACACACACACACACACGCGCGCGCGCGCGCACACGCACGCGCACGCACACACACACACACACACACACACACACACACAC